ACAATCTGTGGGACAGCATTGCAAGGGCCCAGGAATGGGGGTGTGGGTGTGGTTGTGTCGCAGGTAATGAATGTGTAATGGTCTGGGGGAAGTGATGACGTGGCACGGCTGCCACTCGAAAATCGCGGACTCGGCCCGTGCCCAACTCCGACTCAGTCCGGGCTCTCGCAGCCCATGCAGGACATCCTAGGTGGGCAGGGGCGAAGGTTGAAACCTTCTTCTGCTGTCAGGGGACGGACCCCGGGTCCCCATGACCCCTCTCTCTATAGCCCACAGCCCTGTGTGTAAACAGCCTATCCTAAGGCATAACCTACTGTGGGTAAGAAAGTGATATAAACAAAGGGGCAAGTAGATACACTTGCCTACTGTGGGTAAGAAAGTGAGAAGAAGGTTAACTTCTCCAGCCACTCCCAGCTGGGGTCTGGATCCTGACATGTTGTAATTCATGACATGAGCCATCAGATTGCATTGTAATAAATGCAGGTCAGTGTGTTGGATCGAATGATACAGTTAGTAAGTTTGCATTGTCCAAACTTGAGTCGAGGATGAAGTGCGAACCTTGATGATAAAAGAAATTCCATGTACCAGCAGTCTGGTGGCTGTCTGAGTCATTGTTGAGGGGCGAGATTTGCTTCTGATGTGAGTGTCATATCCATACCAACTCCGCCCAACCTCCGACCTACTCCACCACTGTTCCGGTTCACTTCCAGTTCATCCTCTCCCTCACCTCCACCATACCCTCTGGTGTCATATCCATCCACAGCCACCATCCTCAATCCCCTCCGGTCCTTCGTCACTAACCTCAGAGCCTCCGGTTTCCGCAATCACCTCCGACCCCCCGATGGTCACCACCCCCTCAATTCAATATATTACCTACGCCTCCCTAAGTACAGAACCCCGAAGGCCTCTGGACAGCTCTGACGTCCGCTAGTGCACTCCCGCCCCTGCTGGGCAATTCACTTGCTTGCCCTGCAAGTCTACCTTCAGGCCTATCCCTCCTTTCTGTTTCTGGGTTATAGCCCGCCATTCCACTAACCCCATAAACTGACTCGTCGGTAATATTCAGTTGGCTAACATGTAACTCCGTTAGCTCCACTCCGCTCGGCCCTGTCATTCACAGGCCCACCCTCTATGTACCTATATATACTTAACTTGTAGATAGGTTACACCCTAGTGATAAAATCGACTAGAGTTAATCCCCCTTTTAGTTCTCACTGCCAGTAAGTAAATTAGGGCACGGACATGTAACTTGGCACAGCACTCCTGGTCTGAGTCGCTGAGGCCGAAGCCCTCCGCTACAGAGATGTATCCTTCGTCTCGCATCTGGTCTCTGACATCTGGTGTATTTCCAGTCCACCTCTGCCTCCGATCTCCGGTACCTTCTCCAGTACCCTGTATCCTCATCATAGAAGTTTATTAATATTTCTATCTACCCAACATTACTACGGACCTCCTAGGACCTCTGCCAACCCCACAAAGGTTTTCCCATTATCCAATAGCTGTCGCTAATTCTCCCCTGCACTTACCCACTCCACAGTGCTCAATAAGGTGATTCTCTCACAAGCTTGCCAACCCGGCAAGTGGGTAAGTCCATCTTGGGTTTTCCCTTTCTTCTCATATTTGTCTTGTATTATGTATATAAGTCATGTACTGTAGTTGATGGCACTTCAGTGCAAAATCAATGACTAGATCCCCCAGAGTTCGTGCCCCTTCATTCTGAAGTTAAGGACCCAACACTAGCATTACCAAACGTTGGCACAGCGCTCCTCTCCAAGTCGCTGAGGCCATGGTCCCTCCGCTCGTCCTCTACCTCCATCCTCCCTTCTGGGGAAAGGTCCAGACATGCTTGTTCCCTCGTTGCTGTGTTCTGACAGTGAGATCACGTCAAGCAGCCAAAGTGCACTCTAAAGCCACGGAATGAAGATGAAGACCAGGGGGGTCTGGCACTTGCAGCATGGCTAGCCAATGAGAGTGAGAATGCACTTCAATGCACTGGTGAGACTCTGTACATTGAACGGTTCCAGGGCATGCTGTGTGTGCCGTTGCAGTGCCATCACAGTGGTATAACCTGGCAGTTGGGAACACAGCCAAAGTGTGAATGGATGTCAAATGAGCAATGTTGGGGATGTCAATCCCAATTCTGGTGAAATGGGAGCCAATGAGAGGAGCATGTTGGAACCGACCCAACTTGGGGTTAAGGTTAAAACCTCAAAGAGCAAGGCTTGAGCCAATCAGAGGTGAGAAACAGTCATCCAGCTGGACCTGCACTATTAGTATAAGTTAGACACTATGGGAGTGACTCTGGTGCAGAGTAACATGTAATAAACATGAGGTCATGCAACTCAGAAAAGAAATACACACACGTAAGCAAAAGTGGCACAAAAAACGTAATTATGGAAGACTGCTGTGCAGGTAACCCCACGGCCTCGTGTCAACGTATGTGGCAGTGCAGCCATCCTACCTTAGATGGTATGGGTGTCTGGGTGGTGTCTTCGGGTGAGTGGGTCTGTTAGAAACAGGCGGAAACAGATGACTCCGGAGTGGAATCGGAGACTTAGCATGGAGGGACCTTGGCCTCAGCGACTCAAGCGGAGCACTGTGCCATTGCTGTTTGTCCATTTGGTCCTTAATTTCACAGTAGGCGAGCAGGAAGTCTCTAGGGGGCATTTCAGGTTGATTTCGGACTGAGCCCCAAACGAGTATGTACAAGCGCCGATATATATAATGGAGGGGGCAAAAGCACAAGAAGACAAAGGGGATCCAAATCGGGACGAAGACGTCCGAACGGGAACAAAGGGTAGACAGAAGCGGAGCGGTACCGAAGGTCATAAGGCAGGACCTGTGATACGTCCGAAAGGAGGTAGGGAGGGCGAGGCTCAGAGGGGCAGGAGGATGAGGAGAAGTGGGGATGATGACTAACTGGCTAGAATGGGAAGAAGCAGCAGTCCAAATAGGGATGAGGGGAAAACGCGAAGGATACATTACAAGCGGCGAAAGTGCCGAAGGCGATCCACGAAGCTCGGAGGTTGCGGAGCTTACGGAGGTTACGGAGGCGGGGTTGAAAGTCTGAGGAATATTGGCAATGGTGTTTACATAGTATGAGGTCACCAATGCAATGGACTAAGACCGAGGTGGAGTCAAAGTCCGAGGTAGGGACTATGACGGAGGCTCGGAGCAAAGATACGAGCGGTGCCCGAGTACGAAGTACGGGACAGCGGTGGAAGGTCGTAACTTGGCAGGGGGTCGGCGGAAGAGTACCAGAGGGAGGAGAGAGGAGAAAGGTACGAGAGAAGGAGTGGAGGGAAGGAGAGTTGTCAGGTCCGAAGGTGAGTATCGGAGCGGACGGGAGAAGTGTAGGAGGGTGACGGAAGGGTGGAGGTGTTGTGAAGGAGGAGCGGAGTAGGAGGAGGAGTAGTAGGAGGGTGGCGAGAGGGGCGGTGTTCGGTCCGAGGTGAGTATCGGAGCAGACGGAGATAGGGGAGGAGAGGGAAGGAGGAGTAGAGGTGGTATGGGAGGTAAAAGGAGGTGTGTTGCCAGGACCGAAGGTGAATATCGGAACGGGCAGCGGTAGGGTAAGACTCCAAAGGTTGGGAAGGAGGAGGTCCGGGAGTCGGGTCGGGATCAGGTATGCACAGATATGACAGGGTCCTCAGGAGTGAGCAGCCTATAGTATGCACAATAAATCATGGTTTAATATCCTTATTTCACACGACTAATCATGATGGTATCTAGCGCTGAATGGTGCCACATGGTCCTGCGTTTTCGCAGCGCTGATGGGACCTTGTGGGTGTTCACTAGTCCTCGTGTTTATTGTCTTCACGTGATTTTCACGTGTATTGTCCCTTCTCCCCGCTCCCTCAGCGCTGCCTTCGCGTTTGCTCCATCGGGACTGGTAAGTCCTCACTTGGTTGCAACGGGGCTGGAAACTTACATGTGCACTTCAGACAAGTTGTCTGCATTGAAGTTTCCCCTCAATCTTTTGTTGTGCTGTGCATCCTAGTGAGTTCATCTCACTTGTGCTTACTCCTTGCGGAGTCTTACTGCAGCACTCATGCTGCCTCAGTTCTGCTTCTAGCGTTTATTCTTCTGTTTGTTGCATCCACCCACCTCCTCCCCTTTTTCACCACCCCGATACTATGTATCTGTATTTGTATCTGTTTTCTCAATTTGTCATTGTTGACCAATCCTTTTGGCATCGTTGTATCTCTTTGAGCAAGGACTTCGTCTTGCCTTTCTGGTTGCTTTCCCTGTGATCCTCTCGCTCCGGCCTCCATTTGGGTGCGAGCTGCAACCTCGAGTCTGTCAAAAACCCGGGCCGGACGAGGGGGTAAATGCGTGAGTCCGAATGCAGGCGGGGCTCAACTAGAGGGGGGTCCGAGGGCTCCGGTAGTGAACCGAAGCTTCTCAGGGAGCCCGGTTCTGCTGGATGGTACAAGAGGCTCTAAGAAGGACGCAGCCTCAACAACTCGGAGGGAGCGCTGTGCCTCCGTTACGTCTCAGTTAGTCCTTGTATTTCTTATGTCTGAGGTGTCTTGTAGAACAGGAACGGGAATCACTCAGAGGGACTTTGGGTGGCATTTTAGTCGAGATTAGAACTCCGGAACTACAGGTTCTAATCTACGGGTATTTATAAAGGAGAATGGGGAGGACTTAGTCAAGGTCCGAAATGACAAATGGGACAACACCGAAAGGTGCCGAATGATACCAAGAGGTACTGAAAGGTTCCGAACGATATTTAAAACGGGGAACCGAGGTGTCGGGCCAAGGAGGGCGGAGTTGGAGGCCGGAAAATGAATGGGGAAGACAAATGGGTAAAGGGGGTTAGCCGACCGAATGGTAGTAAGAAGGTAGTCGTGCTAAGAATGGAAGATGACTAATAAGTGATAACGTGAGGGAGATCACCGAAGGATGCGGGTAGCTCCGAAAGCGGAGTTGCGTATCCGAAGGATGTTAGGTGACTCCAATAAATGAAATGGGTGGAGGAATGGTTTAAGGGCATGTCACGGGATATCGGAGGTCCATCGGGATATCGGAGCAAATCCGGGGTCTCCGAATGTTCCTACTCGGGACCGAGCTTCTGGGATGGGAGTGGCCAAGGTTCGGTGTGCCGCAACCAGACCGGAGCTGAGCCAGTCAGGAGGGAAGGTGGCTTGGGGAGTGGGGAGGCATGGTGTAGGGGATGGTGAAGTTGTTAGGAAGGTGTGGTGTGGTGGGAGTGCGCGGGGTCGGAATTCTGGGATATGACAGAGTCGATCACCATACCTCCTCAAGGTTTCAAGGTGTTGTGTGTCTGTGAGGTTTGGTTCTGCTTCCAAATGCATGTTGATTGCGTTGAATGCTTCGAATAAGGTCGATTTCTGAAAGTTGAAGTCGGTGAGGATCTGATCGAGTTCTTGGAGGAGCGAGTCGAATATATCTTTCGATTGCTCTTCAAGAGGTTGTTGGCTCCTGGAGGGTTGACCTCCAAGGTCATCTTGGCTCATCGTCGTGCCTGTAACTTAGGTGCAACTTGACTTAATGATGATCTTTGATCCACCAATGGACGCAACAAACAGAAGAATAAACGCTAGAAGCAGAACTGAGGCAGCACGAGTGCTGCAGTTGTTGGAATCAAGCACGATACATGTATTTACACATGTTTGCACCGATGTTTTAATCCTAGTGGTCTATTGTTAGCTGGTCCGATCCCGGCCCCGTTGTGGCCTCACTCCTATGGTTTTCTATAGCAGTAAGACTCCGCAAGGAGTAAGTGTTAGAATGGGCAGATTCGGACAACTCCGGAGCGGAATTGGAGACTTAGCATGGAAGGACCTCGGCCTCAGCGACTCAGGCGGAGCGCTGTGCCATTGCTGGTTGTCCTGGGGGTCCCTAATTTCGGATCTAGCAGAGGGAAAGTCTCTTGGGGGGAATTCATGTCGATTTCGGACTGAGGTTACAAGTTACTAGGTACATTGTATATAAGGAGGGGTCCGGAATCAAAAGGAACAAGGGTAGGACAAAAGGAGACAAAGGGAGATGGAAAGAGGAACAACACCGAGGGTCAAGTGTTTGACTCAATGGTGTTTCCCAAAGGAGGAATGAAGGGCCAAGGCCCAAGGAGGAAGGAAGGAGGATGGGAGTCGGGAATGGCTAGCTGACTGAATAGAAGGAAGCAGCAGCCCAAATAGGAATGAGGGAGAATAGCGGAATTGAAATGGACAATGCAATAGTTGCAAGGTCCGGGGTAAGTCCGGAAAGTCCGAACTCGGAAGTTAAACTCCGGAATATTGGCAAACGTAATTAAATGGAATGAACTAACCAATACAATGGGTATAAGCGGAGGTGGGGTCAAAGTCCGAGGTTGGAGCTAAGACCGGAGGTTCCGGAGACGGAGACACAAACGGGATTCCGGAGCGGAGGTCCGGAGTCGGGAGCATAGGTTTTGCGTACTCGTCTGGAAGGTGTCGAGGTTGGGGTCGGACCCGGAATGTTCCGGAGTCGGACCGAAGGTGGTGTTGGAGCCGGAGGTGGGATAACCTCTTGGGAGTCGGCAAGGAGAAGGTGACGGAAGGGAAGTAGGGCTCCAGAGTTCGTTTCGGGGTTCCGGGAGCCCGGAGCGGAGGTCGGGATTGTATGGATATGACAGTAAGCACAAGTGAGGTGAACTCACTAGGATGCACAGTGCAACAAAAGATTGAGGGGAAACTTCAATGCAGACAACTTGTCTGAAGCGCACATGTAAGTTTCCAGCCACGTTGCAACCAAGTGAGGACTTACCAGTCCCGATGGAGCAAACGCGAAGGCAGTGCTGAGGGAGCGGGGAGAAGGGACAACACACGTGAAAATCACGTGACGACAATAAACGCGAGGACTAGTGAACACCCGCAAGGTCCCATCAGCGCTGCAAAAACGCAGGACCATGCGGCACCATTCAGCGCTAGATACCATCGTGATTAGTCGTGTGAAATAAGGATATTAAACCATGACTAATCAGACGGTATGCTCATACCGTCTGATTAGTATCCAGAATAAACAACAACCAGTGATTGCCTGCGATTGACACGAATTTGACCCGTCAATGTCTCGCTATCAGCAACACCGAGTAACTCACAGCACAGCGTGGGTGAAACATGGTGAAGGAAACTGCTAGATTATATGGGCATGAGTCATGGAAAGCCCTGCAGCTCCGTAGCTCACAAGTCATATTTAATGTCGTGAGGCGGCATCCTTCCTTTATTTTTCACCCATATTCAGTACTATAGTTTGTGCGTGAAGAGTCACTACGAGTCCGAGTCCGTGCGTACAGCGATTGTTCTAATAGTATCCTACGATCCCATCGACACTGTCGTCGCTCCCAATTTTAGCATTCCTATGAAAATATCCTGCAGAGCCGCGTCAAGGCGAAGCTAAAGTTAAGGAGAACAGTGAGGGATCCTCCGATGCCTTAGTGCGATCGGACAGTGGAATCGAGCGTTTTTGGGAAGGCAGACTTCAGCTCGAGTGACTACCTAAGCCTTGCATCCAGCGATGCGCTGCGGGCAAGGTTCCTGGATGCCCTGAAACAACACCCCTCTTCACAGGACGGCTCCGCGGACATCCTTGGTTCAAGGTTGCTAGATGAAAGTTTTCCAGTACATACAGCTCTCGACGCGGGCCTCGAAGAATTTTTTTTATGCGCCATCCGCACTGGTTTCAGTTCAGGGTCCGATGTCAATGTTGGATTTTTCCATCCGTCCCTCAAGCTGGAGATGTGATCATTTACGATTCTCTGATCCATGCATCAGTCCGTGATGGAATGAGGGCGTCTCGGGTTCATCCTTCCATGTGTAGAAAGTTCAAACACAACTCGGTCTCTGATCTTCGGTTACAAGAGATCCTCAGAACATGCCCAAGCATTCGGGAAGGAAAAGCATGTGTTTTCATTGCCGTCGAATCTCTTTACTCCATGGATGGTGATTTCGCGCCACTTCATGAAATTGTGACTCTCGCAGAGGATCAATTCCCTTTTAAAAATGCACATGTCATTGTTGACGAATCCCATTCCACTGATATATGGAGAAAATGGAAAAAGAATAGTCTCTCTATTGCGATAGGAACATCGAGTACTCGTCCGATTGCATACGTTTGGAAAAGTTTTGGCATCGGTGGGAGGTGCGTCGCGTCTTGATATCCCTTTCTTACACAATTACTTATTCCAAGGTGCAGCTGTTATCATGACTACTCCCTGGCTTCGTGAATATCTAATCAACTATGCACGACCCTTCATGTATACCACATCATTGTCTATCTATCACATCATCGCGATGCAATGTGTTATCGGCATGCTGAGAGAAGGTGTTGTTCAAAATGTGAGTAGCAACATCGAGTTCTCTGCCACTCTTGATCCAATTCGACCCCCTTTAGCGAATCGACCATCTGCTTCACCTTTCATCGTATTTTGTCCGAACGTTGCGTAGTCGTCTGAACTCCATCCCTGATTCGGAATCTATCATCGTCCTGCCCGATCAGACGCACACTTGTAATGACCACATATATTCCCCAGGTCAACCTTCCAACATGGTCACTGCCTCCTTGGTGTCGCCGATCATACCGTTGCTTACGCCATCCTCAAACCCCCGGCACTGGCCTAATGCTCTTGCTCGATTTTTGCAAACTGGAGGAGTGGATCTCTCTGCCTCGCCCTCGTCTCATCAGATGAAAGGGATTGGTACTTTGGATTACACGGCACAACGTCGATATCTCGCATATGATATTACACCGCCGATTGTTCTTCGTGCTGCATCTTGAGTCCGAATATGCATGCATGCGGGAAATACGAAGGATGAGGTGGACAGTTTGCTAGAGGCAATTGTACATCTTGAAAGCATAAACTGAATGCCCGTGCAAGAGGTCCTCTATTATTGCAAATTTCCTTCCTATCCAGTTTTCTTCCGCCCCACTCGCTATTTCCAAATTTCCGCATTTGTCATCCAACCCAATCCATGATCCTGAACTCCCCCTGCTTCTATGTAGATTCCCTTTTGATCCCCTCTCCCTCCCGACACAATCCCTCTCAATTTTAGACCTCTCAACCCTACAATGGCGACCTCTTCGATCCCTGCCATCTTTCTTCCTGGCGGTGCTCCTTGTTGAGTGCTAAGCGGCCCTTCTAATCCCGATTGTATTGGCATCGCCTCACTGAAATCGGAGAGAGATAAGACCTTGTGGTAGTTCCCCTCTCAACCCATGTAGTTGCCCGCACACCCATCTCGGAATCCTCGAGAAATCTCCAAAAGTAGCCCTGTCGCACCTCATTCCCTCCCCCTGGCCCACCCGGATAGAGCAACTTGTGACCCCAAGAATCCGTTCATTAGCTTACTAATCCGCCAGGAATTACACAATGTCTGTATCTCATCGAAACACAGAGACGACAGGTTTAGCACATACCTTACTGGCATTCTCTTCTCGCTCTGTACGAAACACAATTATCTCTCTTTCTCCTTCCACATCCGGCCTTAACTCTCCAACCCCTCTCTACGTTGTCGAGACCCCGAAGAAATCCGGTGATCCACCTAACACGATATACAGGATCAGCAGTAACGGGCAGAAGGAACACGTTGCTACCTTGATATGGAGAACGTTTCGAAAAGACCTGATTGTCATTGGTGGAGAGATAAAAGAATTGAGGCAAGTCTTGCCAAGGAACGGATTCTCTTTGTGAGTGTCAGTCACTCCGGGTTGAAAGATAAGCAAGGGGTGTGAACTAACACTGGTACATGACATTTATCTTTTTTGAGCAAATATACGATGCCTACGCTGACGGGCGATTGGGCGTGGGACACGCCATTCGATAGTCCCGAGGTAAGTTTCCTTCACAAGAGATACACTCATGGCTCTAATCTTTCATTTTGAATCATACGCACACAACGTCGTTGGATATCCCAGCTTTTCAACTCTTCAGGGAAATCCGTAGCGAAATATGACAAGATTTTCAGAAACGAGAAGAAGAATAAACCCCCTGCGGAGATGGTTGTAGCGCCTGAGGCGATGGGAGTGCTTGACATGGTGATCATCGGTCTCCTTTGCTGTCGCCAAGCCATTAGAAGAGATAGAAGTCTTCTTATCTGCGCATTGTCACTCTCCACCTAGTGAAATTACGTAGTTTGTGCCACTTGTGCTTACGTGGTTGACTCTTCTGTGACATCACGTGTATTCCCGCTACTCGTCACACCGATATCTAGGCCTATAGAGGGGGGTTCTCAGGACGTTCAAAGAGGGCCTAGAGGCCTCTTTTGTATGGGAACACCCCAGGACGTCCTGAGAATTCACTTTCAATTCAAACATTCCGTCTGGGACGTCCGTAATTCAAACTGAAGTCACATGTCTGTTGCTATCGCTGTGTGCATCCTAGAAATTGCAGAATCATGAGTTGGAGTAATAATACGAAATAAAGAGGAATTTTAGAGGAATTTATTGCAAAAAACCCGATGGAAAATGGTCGAGAACTGATGGAGAAATGCCCGATTCTCGGTTCACTCAACACGCACGGGAGTGGCATGCGTGGGAAATGACATGCAAGGTCAAAGCTCAGTGCTTCTCAGATGTCGAAAAAATACGAGAAAATATGTAAAGTTTACTTTGAAGACATGTATTTCAGTGCGCAAACTTTGAGGACATTTGAACTACTATTCAGCGAGATAGGGGAAATGCGCGATATATTCCCCGCTCCTCCCATACTATCTTGCTCATTTTTCCATCGTTTTGAATGAGACCAGCTGCGTTGGAAAGCTAAGGTTTAGTATAGTTGAATGGTGTAAGGTTAGCACGGTTATGGGGAGCGGTTGAGGCTTCCAACACAATTTTGGGTTTCCAGGCCACTTTCTTATTGTTCTGTCTTTTGTAATTTCTTTTATTAGTGTTTTCCATTTCTTAAAGCCAATTGAAATGTTCTTGAAGCTACCATGGCATATTATCTCTGTTTGTTTCTACAGGGAAAAGTTCATGCACGACAAAATAACTATTTTTATGGATTTTATGCTGTAGCCTACAAAGCACACAGGCCTAGTCTTTCCACCGTTTTCACATCCATTTCCCGCCCACATTACTCGCTCTTTCCTATTTTTTTCTATTTTTCCGAAACCATTTTCAGTTCCCAAGCAGGATTCTCATGCATAACATAACTTTCAACTTCTTACCCCATGATCTCCACAACTACACCTTTAAAACAAACCTTCTTATGCTCGATCGATAGAGCGGGATTATTTCTCCTATCACGAAAATTTTTGTGCTGAATGGACCAATATTAGTAGAGATTCTTGCATGTGGTCCATTCAACACCATGCTGAATCTCACGTGGACCTGACAGCACCTGTCAAGAACCACTGGGCAAATTTGAATAAAATGAAAAGCTGAAGGGGAAGAGAGGTTATTGGAGCTCAAAAAAAGGCATGAAAGGGGATGGTTTGGTTTCGTGTCGACCTTCTTTCATATCAAGCTGCTCCAGCAGTATTTCCCCAATATATCCCCCATTTCTTCATCGATTTCCACATATTTTGTATCATTAGAAAGCTGTCATCAAAACGAATCGAAGCAGGCTGTAGCGGAGAGACCTAGTGCAGCCATTGTGGAAATCATCAACTATATTCATTGTGTGGCCAATTTCTCCTACACTGTAGAGGAAAAGGGGAGGGAACAAATAGTTGCAAAACTTGAGAAGGGGCTCTATGGATTGAAGCAAGCCGGACGGGAGTGGTACACAACCTTACATGACTTCTTGATTCACCTTGGATTTCGTCGAACACATGCTGACCACTCAGTCTTCGTATTCAAATGAGGACGATCCATTGTAATCATTCCTGTCTACGTTGACGACAAACTCCTTGCTGGAAACGATGAAAAACTGCTTACATCTATCCAAGACACCATTGGGGACCGTTTCAAAGTCTCAAGCAAAGGGGAAGCGTCATGGATCCTGGGGATCCGAGTTCGCCAAGACATGTCGGCCAGCATGCTATCGATTGACCAGTCACAGTATATCAAGGATATTCTCGCTCATTTCGACATGACAGATTGTGCGCCATGCACCACGCCATTACCTGCTGGGATACACTACAAACCGGTACCAACGGAAGACCATTTGAGAGTTTCCTCATACCCCTTCCTCAAAGTCATCGGATCTCTCATGTACTGTACCCACATGACCAACTACCGGTCACGCGTCACGCGGGCTCGCTGGTCAGGCTCATTTGAAGACTCTGTCATGCGTCACGCGAGGCAAGCGGTCAAATTGTCCCATGTCACGCAAAAATGCTCATTCGCTTGTGGCTATGCAAAGGCAATTTCAAATTTCCTTTTTTGGGTAATTGGTATGTTCAAAACCGAAAAACAGCCATCTCCTCATCCAAATTGCATGTTTTTCTAGCTCGCATTCCACGGCCAAGGTCGGAGGGAGCCAAGGAAACCTCATTGAGGGTGTCAGGCTCAGCCTCCTCAGCGCAAGTTGACGCAACTTGCAGGCCACCATTAACCACTTCAAGCCCGTCTGGGGCCGTGCACCTATCCATGTGCTCAAAGACTTCTTCCATCCTTACATCAACATCATCTTCTATGGTCTTGGTGAATTCTCCCTCGTGTACGACAGGATGTGAGTCTGGGTGGATGTTGCTGTTATTATGGGGTCGGCTTTGCGGTCCTGTTATCGCTCTTGCAAGGTCGGGATCGTGTTCATGAAGAGCATCGAGGATCAGGCGTAGTGGGCGACTGGTAATACTAGGGTGAGACAGATTGAAGTCGCCTGAGTGACACAGTTCAAAGGCCTAAACTACTTAGTATTCATGCACGGAAATGAGGATTTGTGTTTGGAGTGACTCACTTTCTGAATTCTGTCGCGTCGATTCATATGTTGGAAAGCATGTACTAATGTTTCAGGGACACGGTCCCTTAGTACACCTAGCTTGGTATTGAGAGTTATGCGACATGAGTCAATACCGCTTTGTAGCTGTGAATAAACCTCCTTCACAGCGGCAGTCTGCTGAGCCTGCTTCACAGCATGTTTCAGTGGACGCTGGATTCCGACATCGCAGGGCTGCCAGAGACCTGTACATCCACCAGGAACATAGTTGAGTATAATCCAGGGATAATTTTCATACATCCAGACTCGAAACTCAAGTGATGCGTGGACCGGCCACACATCAAGCTGCCAAATGCACTCCTGAAGCGGGTCAAGGGAGAGCCGCTCCTTTTCAGTATTGAAATAAGGAACTAAGATGCGAGTTACAAATGACTTCATTGTCGCAATATTAGCCCAGTATGTGTCATTGCCAGAGATCTCGAAAACAAAGCCAAGATGCATTGCTTCAGGATAACTTGAGGCATTCGGTGAAGGGAGACTTGCTGGAGTTTTGCCTCGGAAGATGGCCTGGAAGGGTAAAAGGATTCCACTTGCAGAGACAGCCACATTGAGAGTGAATGCACGCTTCTCATCGTGGCCGACAGTGGAGACCTGGCGCGATCCCTTCTTTTCATATGTAGCGGCTGAGTTTTGCTGGTAAATCACTTGTGTCTGATCTGAGTTCACCCGAAGACAGTCAGGAATCACATATTGACGGATAGAGTAGGCCTGGCGAAGCAATGAGGAACGGATTTTTTCATCCGCATCGGGGGGGGGTTTTTTGGGAAGCACGCGTTGCTCGGTGCAGGCTCCAATTCATTTCCTGTTTGAGAAATTTCCGAACCCATCCCATGCTTGCAGAAAACGTGCTTCCATCTGTCCTCACAACAGTCCTCAAGATACTGGGCTGGGCATGTTGAATTTGCGCAAGGATGATACCACGGACTTGGTGAGCATCCAGTGCAGCACCAGCCTGTCAAACACTTAACAACATCTGTTTGATCACTTCCGCAATTTCAGGATACGATGCCTATGTTTTTTCATCTTATAAGTCTTCAAAACTCGACTAGCTAGTTCCCAACTCACCAATATCCCCCTCTGTGTAATGCCGCTTCCTGGGCAATTCTCCTTTTCAACCTTCGCAAGTGTTTCATTGGACCAACATGGACGCGACCCTGAACGATCGATCCATTTACAAACAACGTCGGCACGGAGTGAGTGGAATAGTCTCCAGCTTCTCCTTTGACACCGTTTCACTATTTCGGTAGGACTCATTTTCCGGCCAACAGTTGTGGCCACTTCCGTTATCACTGTCCAGAAGATGGGCTGGAACCAGTTTGTTGCCCGGGCAAACTTGCGCACTTTTTGCCTAGGAGGCTGGACAACATTGTCCAAATGGTGAGTAGTCTTTTGGCGCTTTCGTTCCTTCATTGAATCCTGAATCTGACGCTTTGGCCGCGACAACTCTGCGATCGGAACCAACACGCCTGTGGCACTTGCATTGGACCCCATATCAACCAAGCCCTAAGCAATCCTTTCCATTAGAAACTAGCACATTCTCAACAAGACTACTTGGTTTACCTCTTCCTTCAATTCTTCCTTGCCCTCTACCAACTTCGTTCAGCGACGCTGCTGACGTTCCCGAGCCAATGCTCGACTTCTCTCCACCTTTCTCCTTGCTGCTAGGTCTGCTGCCATCTGCACTCCTTTGCGTCTCTCAGCAAGTCTTTCAAATTCGATCATCGTTTGTTGCTCAAATTCTTCGTGACTCACATGGCTGAAGAATTGGAGCAGCCCGTGCTTGTCATTCCCCTCCTGGATGGTGAGGTCTACCTTTGATTTTCTTCCCTCCAGCTCTCGGGTATTTGAACCAACCAGGTTGTCCACTGTGGCTGGGGTGGTCATGAGGATTGCAGGCAGCACCGGTGATTCCGGCATCATCGCAACTTGGACTGATGCTGTTACCGGTGTTGCCACAAGTGTAGCGGCCATTGTCGCTGTTTGTGTCGGTGCTGCCTTATCACAGGGAAGTTATATTTCATCCATCCTGTTGGTTCACTCAGTTACTTACCTGTGCACTGTGACGGTCAAGGATGGATGTCAGAAATTTGACACGCAGTATTGCTGCATCTTCACCGGTGTGAAGTGGATACTTGTTTGGGATAAGGTGATGCATGAGTGCATCAAGAGCGAAGAAGCCGCATGATACAAAATCATTTTGGTACGCAATTGGTAGCCATCGAATCTGAAACAGAGACGCAGACTGGCTTGGCTCTGGACTGGATATGTCAAGCCACCATCGAAGAACCCTGATTACTTCCTTCACTGCAACCGATTGCCCATCATCTCCCATTGGCTTGTGAAAGGAATCACCGAGGTAAATGGTTGATTCTAGGGGGGAAATGGAGAATGCGATCCAGTGATTATTGACATGGATAATCCCTCCAAATTGATGTACAGATCCAGATGCGAGCTCAGCACCAAACTGGTGGAGCATTTTGCAGGTGAGACTTTGTCGATATCTTTCTGGCCCATTCCCGTCTGATTGCATTGCACACCCAGTCAAGTACTGAATGTCCAGAGGGCTCAAAAGCCTAGCGCTTATATCTGCAACCTCTAGGGCATGTTTCAGAAGTTCAATATGGTACGAAATATCTGTAGTGACAAGGCAGGAGAAAGAGAGGTAACGCGTCAGCCCTCCAATACAGCCAGAAGTTGATTTTGAAAATCCAAGGATTTTGGTGTTCCACTTGGATGATAGGAGCTGTTTCTGAGCTGCTAGGATAGCAACACGCTGAGCAGGGTAACGGTTTGCCAGCTTCCTGACTTGCACCTCTGATTCCTTCCACACCTTCTGCAGGTTCTGAACACGAAAGAGGGTTTCCCAAATTTGGAGGATTTTGATAGGGATGTAACATGTGCCAAATTTAACCGAACAAGGTGGGTTGTCAAAGTTGGACTCATATTCAGAAATTAGATTATTAATTGCGGGGTAGGAAGGCCAGTGTGTGTTGCGGAGATCACTCTCGATTATATCTCTGATGGAGGGTGGGTGATAGCTGAGACATGCACATGAGTGTAGATTTGTTTGGAGGGATGGAACCTTGAACCGGAGGAGCTCGGCGACGGAAAGGGTTTCCTTGGGAAAGTAGGGTCCAATGAGCATAGTAGGGATGTTACTATATGAAATAGGTTCATCCGCACAAGAAGAACTTTGTTGTGCAAGCGTGAAACCGTCCATATGTGATAACTGGTGCAAGAAAGTTTTTACAAGGGGGCGCTCCAACCGAATTTTTTTTTTTTCAAATTCTTACTCATTGCCAAACGTGACTAATTTTCCCGAAATTAGCACTGCCTCCCTTTTAGGGCCCGGCTGGCCGGTTGGGTGTCACGCATCAAACTGAGTCGCCAGTTGAAAAATTTGTGTCACGCTCAGGACCCAGCCGGTAGTTGGTCATGTGGGTACAGTATGCTGCTCTAGGAACCCGTCCAGACATCTGCGCATCTGTGAGAGCGCTGGCGCCATTCACATCGACCTTCGGACTGTTGGAGGAACCGTGTGCTATGGGAGGCCGGACGAGTTTTCGTACAGCCACATTCCCACATCCGAGCGAGGAACTCGCCCGGACAGCCACATTCCCGCGGTAGCGTGACTACTTGGTCACAACACCTTTTCTTCTTACTTATTTTGGTCACTTCGGACTTATCCGCGAAGTCCACAAACTATATTCAATCTTTTGAATTAGTTTCCCTTTTCCTCAGTTCTCGCGCATATAGTGAGACTGAGGTTAGTTGTCTTTCTTTCTTTCTTATATCTTATAACTCATTGTATATTACCTTATAGCTTTACTACTAGGTAATATAACAGTTCTCGCGCATATAGTGAGACTGAGCTTTACTACTAGAGCAAGCGGTTATTCCGTTACGGACAAGAACACATCAAGGGACTTGGGCACATAATGAAATGTCTTGTGGGGACTATGAACCGAGGGATAGTATATACAGCTGGGAGCAGGGACCTCATAGGTTACACCAATGCGGATTGGGCAAACGACATGGTAAACAGAAAGTCAGTATCTGGATATGCCTTTCTTTTATCTGGGGGAGTGGTTTCGTGGATGTCAAAGCAGCAAGCCGGTGTAGCATCATCCTCAACACACGCGGAGTACGTTGCAGCAGCCGAAGCAGCCAAAGAAGTAGTCTGGCTTCAATGCCTCCTGGAGGAATTACATGAAGGAATGCCCAGCTCAACCACGTTACACATTGATAACCGAGCTGCAAACCTACTCACTCGAAACCCCGTCAATCACGCCGCGACCAAAAGTATCGACGTCAGGTATCATTTCATACGGGAATGTGTTGCGGATGGAATGGTTGATTTGAAGCTTATTGGAACGAATGATATGGCGGCCGACGTACTTACGAAGTCCTTAGTCAAGGCAAAGCACGATCGCTTCTGCCTGATGCTTGGGATGGAGTTCGTGGCCTAGATAGATGCGTGGACGTTGGACTGTGGGGGAGTGTTAGAAGTTGCAGCCCAACGCCACTGGTGGTCAAGGGAGTCACCCGGGCCGGACATTCACGCTTTGGGAAGGGGAGGGGCGCTTTGAGGCATGAACGGCAGCAACCTCTTTGACTCTTTGTCTTCGCGCTTTTGTTTTCAACTTGTTGTTTACCACTCATGTTTCACCTCAGTGGCGTAGAGTCATTACAAGATGTATATAAGGACCGGACTTGCGCTAGCAGCTGATACCTCACTAATTGAGGTATCGCGCTGCGCAGTTATTACACAGAGAACATCACAGATATCCCTGTACTATTCGGCTACGGATAAGCTTTCTCTAGACGCAGGAGTGAAGACCGCTGGGGCTAGCGATCACACTGATTCTTATACATTCCCAAATACAGAATCCACACAGGAGCTGGTCGCAATGGTCGCTGATGGATGTGTCACACGTTTCACTTCTTGGCATTTTAATGATCAATGGTGGCGGCACTGAGTGGTGAAACCGCCGCGGTGCGCCAGACCGGATAATCAAACGGGCGTCCAATCATCACGGCCCACGAATCGTTGACAATTGCCACTGCTTCAAACTAATGCATTAAGGTCACCAATGACCACCAATAGTGCCTGCCGAAAGAAACGCAGTTCCCAAAAACAGTTCCAAGCAGCCACGCCCCTGCATTGCATCGTTACACTTTCCTGCATAACTCCCTTCCGCGGGAGATCTGATCATGGCAAAGCTTGATCTCCACAGGTACGGCTAACAGGCTAGCCGTCAAGATGCCGAACGTATCCGCGAGACCAATAGCACCAATCTTGAACTCTCGTTCCTGGGCTTGCCGTTCGAACGCGAGGGGATCCTGACTCGCGACATCCAAATCCTCATGACCTACATGGTAGAACGCATTCACGCTAATAAATTGATACAGCGACGGAACCGCATGCTGCTGTGTTAAACCAAACTAGACCCAACTGGCTTAATGGGTGACTCACTATGCAGAACCTCCGCAAATCCCTTCAATAGCAATAAAGAATGCAACCCATAGGATGCTAGCGCTCTCATCGTCATCAGGCTGTCCGGTCTCCCCGGGAGGGATGATACCACGCGACGATTCAAGGAAGAGGAAGATCAAAATGAATGCTTGTAAGATTGCAGGCACCGGGAGGTACTTTCGAGGAAGCGGAGGGAGGCCTAGTGAAATGGAAGAGCGGGAGAGAAAAACGGTTGTTTGATAGATCAGCTGTGGAGGGTGTCAGCGGATGCTGATAATTTGAAAGTTACAAGGCACAAACCTGCCAGAGCGGATAGTAGTCTCTAATGCTCTTCACGATGTGACTCAGCACAGGGTGTTGGGAAGGTTTAGGGACTGCAAAAATTAGTGTAGGAGATATGCCTTGATTGATTGTGTATTCAAACTTTGAGAGGGACGTTGATCTCGTCAGAACAAAATATAGAATCTCTACGTTAGGATTACATACTGTGTAGACACAGACTGCAAGATACCGAGTCGGTGACAAACTCCCTTTCAAGATTGGCATTGGGGTACTCACATAATGGGACCATATATCGCAATATCAGAGGGCGAACGAGACGCCATTTGTCAGCGGGAGTTAGGGAAACGGACGAGGCACCGGAGGAGGCATTGTCACGATTTGAGGTTATAATCATGCTCGGGCTTTCTGCCGGAATTTCAGTCGATGGAATCCCCATGTAATGCCCATGTTCGGAAGGTGTATAGGCCCCTGCATTCAGAAAGTTGGTTGCAGTGGGAAGAACGAGGAAATAGGCTAATGGTATCACGAAGGGTAGCAACTGGAAGCTCCGTCATTGGGTGGACGTTCGATGTGAGCACAGAACGGCTCACCGACGAAAGGCCCACGCCGAGCTGTACCCCAAGACCCCTCAGAACCCACCATAAGCCTGCTCCGAGAAGTCCGGCGCATCCAGTGCCAGACGCGAAATATCCTAATGCATCACCGGAAACCCCGCTCGATGTATACGTTGTCGACAGTTGAAGGAAGGTGAGTTCGCCGAGGCCGGAGGAGAGTGACGCTAAAGCAATGCCCAGCAGACGCATCGAGAGATAGTTAAAGGCGGCCACAACCTTGGGGAATCAAGATATGAATAAGATCCCGCCTCGGCTGTGAATACATACAGTCATCCCCATAACACTCATAAAGCAGCATCCAATAATCCTTTGTTTATACTGTATCTTCCCTTTAAGGAGGTAAGGCCATCCAATTTTGGCCGCCAGAGAAGGAGCAATATTGCAGAATGCGATGATCCCCTGTAGCGAGCAGGAGAAAGCGAAGTGAGACACCAGCTTTACCGAAACCCCTGGGTATTCTGGACGCACCTTGGGTGTCCCGGTGGGGACGAGGTCTAATGCAGCAGACAGAATAATCACATATAACACTTAACAACAGTGGAATCAATGAGCGTCTAACGTATTTAGGGGTCAAAGCACACACCATTGTTAATCGTCCCAAATAAAAAGAAGCATATTCGAAGCCTCAGAACAAGGCTTCTGAAGAGGCTAGGGGGTGCAGAGTCCTCGTGGCCGCTGTCACTAGGCTCGCGGCTATCCTCTTGTGTCAAGGTATATGCGAGGTCCTCCGTGGAGTCGGTGACAAACGATCTACTCATTATTGGTGTAAGCTCGTGGCGTATTGCCGAAGCAGAGGCGATGGGTCTAGTGGGCATCCACAACACTGTCTAGAGGTATATCCAAATCAATGAAGATTTATGCACGCATCGCTGCAACGAGGACGCCGGCTTCAGGAGTCTTCCGACGGGCGAAACACAGCCACGAAGCCTCCGAAGAATAAATTCACTTGATATTACATACAATGTATCAAGAATTCCCCCCACGGAAGACAATTTGTAGCTGTAATGGTGGGATGCAATTTTTGAAACATACACAAAAATAAGTCATACAATGCATTGCAACGAGCGTCAACTCCCTCCCTCAAGCAGTTGGAGAGCAAGTTGCTCGTCTGCGTCAAACCAGGATGCGTCCCGTTTCGACGAGTCTTCAGGTATTGAAGCCTCAGTGTTTTTAGGACGCTTAGAAGGTGGGCCTTCATCTTCGGAGGCACTGGGAAGATCGAATTCAGGCGATACATATCCATCGTCTTCATTCCGTTCTGTTCCCAGAACAACCTGTATGTCGTCTTGTTCCTGGTTGAGCGGCGAGACATAGGATCGATAGTGAGGACGAGTCGCACAGGAAGATCAGGAGAAACTCACCGCCCGTTCCTTATCTTTTCGTTTCCGCTTCTTTTCCCGTTTCTTTTCTTTGGCAATCTGCTTGTCACCAGCATCTGCTTCTTGAACTTGTTTCCTTTTCACATCCGCGTACTTTTGAACAGCCCCTTTAACATCACTCTTCCGGAAGTTTTCGTCGTCCTCGTAAGTGTGGACGTTATGGCCCACACCCTCCTCATCGAAAATCATCTTCTTGGCAAATTTAGGAGCCAGCTTTGCCAAAGCCTTCTTCGAATCCAGCCGTCTCTGCTTTCGTTTCGACATATTCTCCGTTTCGAGGATCACCCTGTCCATTTCAAGGTCCTTTGGCAATTCATGATCAACACGTTTCAGTGTGATGAAGTCTTCCGGGGCATGGCCTCCGCCAAGGAGGTCGTCCTCTTCGTCGTCTTCGTGTTCGATCAGCTTATTATAATGCTCCGATAGAACGTCTGTGTTTTTCCGCTGGAACATTCGATCGTATCTGGTACGGACGGTAGGCTGATGACAGAAGGTTTAACCATTCAAAGTAAAGTAGAGATGATAAATACGTTTGGCCATACCTTAGCGGCAGAGTTGCCGTTTTCTGGTTTTGCATCTTCAGCATTATCGTCCCTCGGCTCTGCGACTGCCTCATCCTCGTCTTCTGGTGGGTCCGAAGATAAGCTGCTATCCTCGTCGGAGTTGTTGCCATCACTGGCAGAGTGATGGTCAAATTTAACGTGTTTGGTAGACGCTGCGGGTTTTGGCTTTGAGCTGGAAGTCGAAGCCTTGATGAATTTGACCTTGGGAGCACCAGGAAGACCCAAAGAGACTGCAAACTCTTTCAGAGGGAGCTCGGAAACCTTAAAGATCTCCTTATTTTTATGGAGATATATTGATTTCACGTAGTTAATAAATGCCTAGAATAGAATAGAAGGAAAACGGCGTATCAAAAATTGATTGCAAACTCAATATTGGATATACTCGCCTTTTGCCCCAAATACTTGAGTTCGTGGCTTTCAAACGCAAATATTTGTAGTTTGTCTTTGATACTCATTGTTTTGCTTTCCCTTGGTATAATCTTTTCTGGTGCAATATCCTTTTTCTTCAATGCCTTCAACATGCCTTCCTCTTCGCTAGGTAACAAAAATAAGAGACCTTGGCCCTTATTCTTGTACCGCGCCGTGCGGCCAACACGATGTATGTATGTTTCAGCATCCTCAGGGCAATCGACCTGTATGACCCAGTCCACTGCAGGGAAGTCGAGACCTCGCGCTGCGACGTCCGTAGCAAAAAGATAGGCGTGTTTCACAGAGACAAATCGCTGATACTCATCCCACCGTTTGGTTTGTTTCTGATTCCCGTGGAGACTCAATAATGACGTCCCTGGACGTAGCTTGCAAAAGGTCTCATATATGTACCTGACCTACAACAACCCAAGATGCATCAAGCCACGACACCATGTGAGAATCTGGCTTACCTGTTTACAAGCAGAGAAGAAAACTAGTGCCTTCACTTGGAGGTGAGTCCTAATGAAGGAGAAAAGAATATCAAGTTTTTTGTCCAGTGGGCAAACGAGGTAGTGTTGCGCCAAGTTTTTAGGAGTATAAATATTGAGGGCCTGTTCTTCCCTCACAGTGATGGTGACGGGATCTCGTAGACTCAATCGGGCAAGGTCCTTTACGGAATCGGTTTGAGTGGCGGAGAAGAGGAGTGTCTGTCGTGATTTAGGGAGATGGGAAATAATAGCGTTCAGAGCTTTGGAAAAGCCCAAATCAAGTATCCGGTCGGCTTCATCCAGGACTGGAAGGGATATGGGTCTTTTTACTAGTAAGTTGTTATCGGCACAAAGACTCACTGAGAATTTGAAGATTGCTCGTTTCGAATCCCGCGGTTTCATCCATGTGCTGCAACAGTCTGCCGGGCGTCGCAACCAGAATATTCATCCGGGATAGCCGCACGGCTTCCTCACTCACGTTCTTCCCGCCAATGACTAGGCCAGCAGAGTAAGGGTGAAAACGCCCAATGGACTTCAGAACATCAAAGATCTGTATTGCGAGCTCGCGGGTGGGGGACATGATAAGAGCTCCGAGATTATCCTGAGGGCCCCATTTGGCGCGATATAGGGCTTCAATCATCGGAATGAGAAACGCAAGAGTCTTCCCGCTCCCTGTACGAGCGGCACCAAGGACGTCGCGGCGTTTCAGTGCCATGGGGATGCTTTGAGCTTGGATATCAGTCATCTTTTTGAAGCCTCCCCTTTCCAGCCCTGTCCAAAGGAAAAAGCGCCTCAGACACAGAAATCAATAGACGCTAGGGGCAAATGCTCATTTTCTCACCTTGTTTAGTGAGTCGAGATATCGGTAGGTCCGA